CCTTTTCTTCTGGGAGGATTTGGTAGAGAGACGGAGACAAAGACAGAGTTCGCTGAGCGAGGGACGGCTACAGAGAGCAGTGGGTCCGGGGGATCGAGGCGGAGGACTTTTCTTCTGGGATTGATACAGAGCCGTCGTTAAAGAGATTAAACCAAGAGACAGACAGGCAGAGCTTAGGAGTGGGAATTTTCCCGGCGCGCGGATTGCAAGATAGCAAACGGCAACACAGTGACGATTGGAGAAGTACAGTGAGGGCAACTATGGGCGGCGAGAGGGATTTCAATTTGGGATTCAACGTGGTTAAAAGGACGGTTGGAGTGTTGATTTTTTATTCGAATTGGGAAGAGAAAGAGGAAGATATTCGCAGTCCAGAAGGATAGAAAGCAAGAAAGAGTTTCTAAATGGACAATGAAATCCCTCCGAAGTGTGCGGGTATTTCAGCATAGGCTGACGTGGCAAAGGCTCTATCTTGACATTGTCTTATAGTGTTTTGTAGATTTTTCTTGATTTTATTTTTATTTTTGCCATGTTAATTTTTTATTATTAATCTTGTACTTAATACCCATTACATGAAGATTACAAAACATAGTTATTTATTACGTAATTGTTAAATTGGAAGCGTTACGTAATGACTTAACAATATAAGTAATGCAAGATTAATGTTCATTATGTAAAAGGATTATTAATTATGTAAGACTTCCGTAATGATATTTTACAATTGTTACGCAAAATACAAATTCATTACGTAAAGGTTACGTAACAATAGTTATTTCCTATGTAATAGTTAAATTAGAAGTGTTATGTAAGGCTTCTGTAATGATTTAGCACTTTACGGAACAAGAAGTTAATACTCATTACATAAAGGGACCTTCCATTACGTAAGGTTTCCGTAATGACATTTTATAACTGTTGCGTAAAATGCACATCCATTACGTAAAGCTTACAAAACAATAGTTATTTCTTACGTAACAGTTAAATCACAAGCATTACGTAAGGTTTCCGTAATGACTTAGTATTTTACGTAACGCGAGGTTAATACTCATTACATAAAGAGACCTTCCATTACGTTAAGGTTATAAACGACAATTATTTCTTACGTAATAGTTAAATGTGAAGCGTTACGTAAAGCTTTCGTAATGACTTTACACTTTATGTAATACAATGTTGGTATTCATTACGTAAAATAACCATCCATTATGTAAAGCTTCCGTAATGATCTTTTACAACTGCTATTTAAGATTACCATACATTACGTAACCCTTATGTAATGCTTATAGTATTTTACATAATGTGACCCATGAAACCTACTATAGCAGGTAAAAAAATTTAAGTTACCTTACTTCAAATTATCGTAGGAAATCCCTATGTAATTAGAGTCCAATAATAATGAATATGCTTGCTAGTAAGAGATTTAAAATTAGTACAAAGGCTACAAGCATAGATGACAAGTTTCGCGAGTGATTGTTCTCCCGTAGATTTGAAAAATGTTCCGCGTATCTATTTCTTATATTTGACTTACTTTATAGAGACTTTCACCTTTCTTTCAAATTCTATCCTATGGTTGTCTTGTGATTGATCAGCTTTGTTGCTATTGTTGTTATGAAAATGCTAAGAAAGTAGAGTATATTTGTTATACAATTATGTCATCTTCAACATCCATAAATCTCATATCATCGCTTTAGTGGGTTTTTATTCCAGAAAATTCAAAAGAGGGTATTTTTTTTTGTTTTGGCCTATAATCTGCGTAGGGAATTGGTTGCCCACAGGTGATAGGATGTTGCGTTACTACAAAAATAAAATATTGTTGGTTTCCTATTGTCCATTATTTTTCCATTATGTATGTGTGTGAATCAATGGTGCGATATGAGTGCTTGGAGTCTAGTCCACTGTCCAAATTTTTAAAATTTGAGGGCTTCAATTACATTGTCATATTCATTTACTGGCTCAGTGTGCTTTGAATTGCTAGTCGCCATGGTAGTATGCAATCTAGGGAGACTAGTGTAGTGCTACGGAGGATGTTGGTGCATGAGATGTTTCCTCCCCACTTCATACTGTGTTGGTTGACATATTGACTAGTCGTGTTAAAACTTGTGATTTGTTCAGTGTCGATGACTCTCACCCAGTTGTGGGCTCGAAAAGTCTTGTAAAAAGGTGCTTTATGTTGAATATTCAAATGAGTGTCTCACGTGAGTTGGCAACAGATCAAAACATTTAATAAAATTGCGAACTGGTTTATCTTTAGGATTGTGTAGGGAGACAAGGATACACCATCCAACCTTCACCTACTACTTCTCATCTTCCTTTACACCTCTCCTCCTCGCGAAACTTGATAGAGAAGTGACTATTCATTCTGCTCAAGTGAAGATCTAGAGAGCTCTATTTTTGAAAAATCTCCTATGTTGTGGCAACCTGCCATTAACTTAGGATAATCATTTAGATCGTCTCTAAGGATGGGAGTGCATACCGGGAAATTGTTTGAGTGAGACTAGGATCTTGTTTCCAACTTTTACATACTACTCTTCATCCTCACTTTAACCTCTTTCCCCGCATGAACCAGACAGAGGGGTGGATGTTTCACTTCTACTCTTGTCACAAGATTATGCTGCAATGAACAACCAAAGCCAACAGAGGTTCGAAAGTTTGAACCTCTAAAGGAAGATCGAGCACCTAAATGGAGTGCATAATTTTTAATGTTTTTGACAGTCTTTTCATTTACAAGTTGCTTTTCCTAGCTATATTGTTCGGCTTGTCCTGACTCGAGGCTAGGGTCCTTGTCGAGGTGGTTAGGAGATATCTTGTCTCCGGTTGACCTCTTAAGTTGCTAGTTGATCCGCTACCAAAAATCGAAATTGCATGTTATTGTGAGAGTCTAGTGAGTTGCAATGGTTTTATTCAATTTTGCTTGGGGACAAGCAATCGGTTAAGTGTGGGGGGAATTTGATAATGACATATTTATACATGTTTGTATCCTCATTACTTAATCATTTGTCTTGGTTTTAGTAGTTTCTTGACCTATTTCATGGTATGTTGTGTTCCTTTTGTCATATTTCAGGTCCTAGTACGTGGATGGAGCTTAGGAGCGAGCTTTGGGATGATCGGGTGTCAAAACATGCCAAGAAGGATGGGAGTGCATCTCACGACTTATGCCATGAGATGCACCACAAAACCATGATATGCCCTAAAATCACAGAAGCTTTGGCTCATCTCACGACTTGTTTCACTCCCTTTTTTCATCTCAGTCCTTATCTCACTGGCCATCTCGACCTAAACTCATCTCACGGCTTAAGTCGTGAGTTACCCAGATCATGTCGTGAAGAGGAATCATCGATCTTAATTGAAACGCATAATTTTGCATCTCACCCCTATCTCACGGCCGTGATATAGGGGTGAGATGGCCTTTGTTGCGAGTATATGAGGATTTCTACAATTATGAAAAAAGATAGTTGGGTTTTGGATCCCAAACACTCAAGGGACGAACCATAGAAAGAGAGAGCAACTTGGGAACATTCTGTGAGCTATTTTTAAGAATTTCTTTGCCATTTGAGCTTAGGAATTAAGCTTGGAGATGGAGATTGAAGATCTAGATAAGATTTATGCATTCTCTCTCTTCTCTATGAAGTAACTTCCCTTCACTTAGATTTTGAGGAATCCTAGCTTTGTTTTTGCTTGATTGGATGATTGTATGAGTACTCTATCTTGATATTCTTGAGTTCATATTCAATCTATGTTTGATTTCATGATTCAAGTATGCTTTAGTCAAGATTATTGATTATGCTTTGACCCTATGAGAGGAATACATTATTGGGTCAATAGAGCAATATAGATTGGAAGTAGGGGATCGATAACACGAGAGTGAGCTGATTCAATGCTACATATTGAGTGAGATCTTTGCCCAATAGAGGGAGTCTAGTATAGAGCGCCTTGATCGGTTCTTTACGAACAAGATATGTTCCTCTAAGCAACCGACTCAAGAGGGCTTGATTGCTTTAATTGAAAGTTAAGGTCTAGTAAAGGGTTCTCCCAATTGTGGATGAATAGTGAATCAAGATAAAGTATCATCAATAATTAATCATTAATCCGGTTAGTTGCTATTGGAATCAACACCCGAGTGAGTTCTCAAACTGTAATTAGATTAACCGTAACTGTAATATGTTAAAATAATTGTAGTTGTTTGCTATTAATCTAATTTGGCTAGATAATAAACTAAAGTTGAACAATAATCGTAGACTCCCTCGTCACACTAGGGCTAGTTAACACTTAGCCAAAAATGATATGTGTGTCATGAGCCAAAAAATCTAATATATGTGACTTATCTTAATTTCTTTAAGTTGGTATTATAAAACCATTTAATCTCTTGAATTCAATTGATGTGTTTCAATTTTAATATTTGGTGTAAACAACCTTGAACACATACCAACGAGAACTGAGAGTCCAACCACTAACAAATCAAAAGCTACGAATATCAAAACTTCAATACCACACTCTTCTAAAATTAGCAGCCTATATATAGAAGAAGATAATTAACAAAGACAAGAACTACGTAATCCACCAATCTCACAGCTTTACACTCAGACCATTGACTGCCACAAAATCCTTAATCTCTGCAGACGCTGTTCCACTATTCACTCTCGCCTCCTCTCCGTCTTGTGCTTCCTCTCTTTTCTACAGGGCTGCAACGACTACTTTAGATTTGATTTTTTGCCACGATAAATTTTATGGTAGGAACAAGGTAATTAAGATTTTAGGTCAATATGGACGTTGATCAATTACCTTACAATCTTACATTATTCTCAATTTCCCTTTTGGGTAAGAAATCCATTGGAACCAGAACAGGTACATCTCACAAACATGATGGTAGATTTCTTTCCGTCTTTCATTTCCTTTGAACAAAAGAAAAACTAACTATAAGAAACTTCACATTTTTCCTTTGCTTCATTGTATCCATCTCCCACAAATCTCCATTACCCAATAATCCCCATTCCCTAAACATGGTTTATCCCATGATCACCACCACATTTCCAGCCATATTCCTAACCCTAACCCTAATCATCTCCCTCTTTCATCTCTCCTCTTCCCAACCCCCAAACCTCATCCAAGACATCTGCCAGCAAGCCGCCTTAGTCCCTCCGACCACATTCAAGGACTGCGTAGCCACATTGGCCTCGAAACCCGGCTCGCGGTCCGCCGATCTCAAAGGTCTGGCCCAAATCACCCTCAAATCTGGCATCGCCACTGCCAAAGAGGCCCAGAAATATGTGGAGGCCCGCCTTTTGGCCGCGACGCTGCCCCGTCTGGCCCGGCCCGCCTTGAAGAGCTGCGCATCGTGGCTCTCAGCGGCTGCGGGTTCATTTGGCGGTGCGCTGGTGGAGCTCGACGAGGACGTGATGTCTGCCAATTACGATTCGAAGATCGCCGGTGACGATGCGAGAAGCTGCCGGGCGGCTTTGGCCGCCGGGAGAGTGTCGGAGCCGTCGCTGGAAGTTAGGGTTGGTTACCTGGTTTTGTATAGCAATATCGCTGATGTTATCACTGACCGTTTGATGACGTCTGGATAGGAAGGCTTTGTAAGAAAGGGTTTTGGTGTACTGGCAGTACGTAGTGTTGAATAAATGAACAAGAATCGTTAATTTTTCAGTCTAAATATGCTTCTTTGTTGTTGTTGTTGCGATTTTTCGTTTCCTTGCCTTTATTTAAGGGAAGAATCTGGATAGAAAATTAGCTGGGATAAATGGTTGGATTCGATTTGGTCCAAATATTTATTTCGGTTGCCCGTTTCATAATTATAATAATGATTTACAAAATTGAAAATCAAACTGTGTCACATTATTTTGGATTCCACTTGGTAAAGATGTCCCTCAATATGCACTAAATGAGAATACACCCTTAATTTTCCATATATATAAGGAAAGTGAATTGTACGTATTGTTACAAAATTATACAATCCTAAGCAAAAAAATTCATTGCATATGAGCCGAATTTTACCATCGGACGAGAAGTGAAAAAGAAACACACGGTCTTGAGCTAAGCCACATCCATGAGTTTGTGTGCCCAAGCAATTGGGTACATTTGGTTGTTGCTATCCTTACCAACAGTCATAATAAGCATGCCTTTAATTTCCCCCTTCAGAAAACACCCGTTCAATCCGAACATTGGACGACATGCTTCAAGAAAACCATCCCTTAATGCAGAGAATCCTATGTACATTCTTTGGAAGTACACCTTGTCTTGTGTAGTGTGCGGTTCAACTCCAAGAATGAAGTTCCCTCTAGGATCTCGCTTTATCAACTCTCCCAAGTAAGACCTCACCATGTGATAATCTTCCAAAAATGAACCACTCAACGTTTTGATAGCACAGATCTTTGCTCTATAGCAGGTTCTTCTAGCCACTTCTATATTGTGCTTTAACTTTACCTCTGCAATGATTTGAGTTGGCGCCCACTCGGGATTTGTTTATGCCACGTAACCCGACACTCTCGGTGGATGATGCGCCCCTCCTCCTCCTGATGCGTTCCTACCTCGCGCCTCGCTCCTGCACACGAAGGCACCCACCGAACCCCTTACTTGGGGCTCGTTAGCACTCCGACGCCCAAGTTAGAACAGTCTTTCTAGAGAGAGAAGTGGAGTGTAGTTTTTAGATAGAAGTTCTAACCCGAGTAAATGAGCTCCACCAACTTCACTATTTATACCCAGGGTAGGGCCGACCACTGCCCCCAAGTCCGCCCCACGTCATCATCTCATTAAATGCACTGTACCTTACTCCTGCCATGCGCCCCGACATTCTGACATCGGGTCTTGACACCAAGGCGCATGGCCCCACGTTCTGTCACCTCCGTACGCTCCCGGCCGTTGCCACTTTTGTCGTCATGCGCTTTACGTCATGCCCGGACCCACTGCCTAGTTTACAGCCTCAGGCCCATTTTGGGCTGTGCTTTCAACTTTTCAGGCCCGCACTTTAGGCCCACTTAAACTTTCTGGGCTCCACTCTCGGGCTCTTGTATGCCCCCAACAGGATTAATTCTGAATCTCTCGAGCATATCCTTTGCAATCCAGTGGGCAGTTACTTGGTTGACATGCAGTTGTCTTGCACAAGAATGTGGCAGCCCTGTTTTCCTCACCATGAAGCTCTGATTACGCCTGAACCAGCTAGCATATACCTTCCATTTGCCGTTCTTGTCCTTGCATTTGGCCTCTCTTCTTGATTTCTCAACCCTAACCCATCTCAACCCGGCCCCAACAGCTATAGAGTGACGGACCACAGCTACAGAGGATTCGTCCTCCTAAAAAACATCAAGTTGTCCGACCTCCTCTCCATGGTATCAATACGTGCATTCACCTTCCTTTTCTTACTCTCCCCATAGGCTCTCAAATTTTCCATTGCTTCATGGTACTCGTCATCAGATGTGTCTGCATCTTCTGAATCGTAAACATGGTATATATCTCGAGCAACAGATTCCTCGACACCATTATGTGCAGCGAAGGAAGCATCTGGATTCTCATGAACAGCGTCTGGATCATACTCTCCAAAAGCCTCATCCCATGAATCAGCCATCTGTAAATACCTTTAATCAGTTTTTTAATCACCATTATCCCCATCAAAAGCTTAAGGTAACCATTCTTTAATCACTAACTAACAAACAACTCGAAAACAACAACGGTTTACATTATTCAATTCTAGGGTTTTTGCAACCAAAGGTAATAACAATTCTATCCAGAAGATTCAGCTACTCAACGTCAGATTCAGGGGCAAATCGGTGAGGAATTCAATCGAGTGGTCCCCTTGTTCTTTCTGTCTTTACACCTCGTTACCAACCAAAAAAGGAAGAGAAAGACACTTCTATAAGAACTTTCCAGCCAAAATCAACACCCACAACTACCAATTCAAAAGCGAGACTCGCCAGTGGCTATAGACGAGGGTGCTCAGAAATCCCCCACGTTTCCTCACGTTTCCAGGGTTCGATTTTGAGGTCTTCAATGGAAAGGAAGCTTGGGAGGAGTCAGCCTAAGCTCATTGCGAATTGTTTAAGTCACCAAAATCGGTGTTGGTCTTAGTCGAGGAAGGTGGGCGAGAAGGGTAGATCGATGACGGGAGGTGAATTGGGACTAGAAGAGGGGGGTAGATCGATGAAGGATGGAGGCAAATCAGGGGATACGACGACTGCCGTTGGAGACAGATCGATCGTCGGCGATGGAAGATCGTTCTCTGTCGCCTTCGTCCTCCTCCGCAGGAGAAGGGTTAGGGGGTTCGTCGAGCAAAAAAAGAAGGGTAGAAAGCTAGGTCGAACGAGGGGAGAGGTCTAGGGGTGGGCATCCGGTTCGGTAAACCCGAACCGAACTGAGCCGAATTGATCTCAAGCCAAACCGAATTAGTGTTATTCATTTCGGAAATCGGAAAGGGAAAAGGGTTATTTCGGAAAACAGGGTTGCCACAACCGAACCCGAATTCTAAACGCCGAACTGAGAAATCAAATTTTGCTATAATACACTCCCAAATCCCCCACATGCTTCATCCCAACAAACTCTACAGGCTACATCCCAAAAGCCCAAACACTTAAACAACCCTATCCCCCAAAACCCTAAGCCCACCCTTTGTTTCTTTACTCTTTTGGCACTCGTCTCTTAGACTCCCACCCCCACTATCTCACACATAGCAGCCACCAAAGCGCCAACCCTGCAAAATCAAAGATTGGGGAAAAATAAACTGATACTTGATTAGAGATTTGATGAACCCTGACCCTTTTGATAGGGATCTTCCTTTAGTCGGTAACTTTTCTAGCGAAATCATATCTTTAAAGTAGGCATGCAACCCAAAAAAAAACTTACCTTTGACTTTCCTCAAAGTCGGTGTCGTCGTATGGGATGAAGGGGTCTGGCAGAGTGCTCGTCGATAGTGGGGAAGCTGGTTTTCAGGCGGTGGAAGGAGATCAAATCCGGCCATCGGGGTTGGTTTTGCTGCCGATTCTTGATTTTAGAAGGGCGAGAACGGCATGCAAGCAGCGGGAGTGAAAGGAATGCGGTGGGAGAGGCCGACCCGACGAGGCGACGATGAGGAGAGGAGCGCGACCTCGGAGGCGGAAGAACTGAGCACGACGTGACGTCGAATGGAAGAAGAAAGGACTCGACGGGGCATCCATCGGTGACTGATAGAGCCGATTCTCTGATGTTGCGCGGTAGAGGGAAGTAGAAGAAAGAGGAGGAAGAAAAATAAATTAGATTTAATGGGCTGAATTTTGTTAGCGAGATGAAGAAATAGAGAGAGCGGGGGCGAATATCGGATTGTCGGGTTGCCATTCCGAACCGAGTAATATAATTCGGTTCGGGATCAGTTTGAACTTTGACAGACATATGGGTATCGGTATTCATCTTTTTGGTTTGGTTTGAACCGAACCGACCGAATGCCCACCCCTGGTGAGGTAAATGAGGGGGTTTGAAATTTTTATTGTTTATTTTTTAAATTAAAGGGTTAATATTTTCGTATGGCTGAACTTTGACCAAAATAAACATCCTGGCCAATCTTTTCGATCTATAACATCCTGGCCCGAACTATACACCAAAATAAACAATTTGGCCAGATCCGATTTTTGACCGTTAACTTGGACGGTCAAACACGTTGACCGTTAGTCAAAGCGCCATGTCACTGCCAAGTCAGCATAAAATATTTAAAATAATTCACAATTTCCACACATTCCCTAATTTTAAATTATTATAAATTAAAAAAATCATCTAATACCTTAGTTAAACCAAAAATAAAAAACGAAAAAAATTAAATATTTATCAGATCTTCTGACTTGGCAGTGACGTGACAGTGACGTGGCGCGTTGACCGTTAGTCAACGCGTTTGACCGTCCAAGTTAACGGTCAAACATCGTGTTTGGCTAAATTGTTTATTTTGGTGTATAGTTCGGGCCAGGATGTTATAGATCGAAAAGATTGGCCAGGATGTTTATTTTGGTCAAAGTTCAGGCCATACGAAAATATTAACCCTAAATTAAATTAATCAGCAATCCACGTGGATAATTACAGAGGAATTGGGAAATAAGCGTTCGCCACGTATGCACCACCGTTTGTCCAGTCAGACTTAACGTTAACACCGTTAAAGAATGTGACGGAATTGGATATGAGTGGTATTTCTGGAAATTTGGATATTATTGGCACAACCGTGAAAGTTTTGGATATACAAGTGTATTTAACCAAATAATTATTATTGGTGAGTCTATATTCATTCTTCCAACCGAGCTTCCTTTATATCCTCTCCAATAAGTCTCGTGCCTTTCGCTCCATAATCTATTCTCTACCGTAGATTTGACTCCTTTAGAGTCGAATGTATTTTGGAACCTCTCCTTCGTTGTCCATGCTCATATCACGTCTTATTAAGCATAGTCCAGGAGCCATATATCCCTACGATAGTGCACTACGACCCCAACAACAGTGCACTACGATACTTGTAAAATAATACAATGTTTGAGAAACCGTACCCTACCGCCAGGTCAGATTGGAAATGTCGGGTACCGGATGCCGATGTAGGCAATTTTGATTATATGAAATGGTTAAACCACGGTTAAACCACTATTTAGAACAAAATACCGTACCACTCACTTTTCTTATACAACCTCCGATACAGTTTCATATTCTTAAAATGTAAATGATACAAGTCAATTAAAGAAAATAGAGAACTAGAAAAACATCATTTAATTTTTGTCATCGTATTAATCCAACGACCGAAAATCAATGAAGCAGTAGTCAGTAACCCCAAATATGCGTTATGTGATGGCTACTGGAGCAGGGACGTAGAAACATATTTGCAGAGAGGGGAATAACGCTGCTCATATTATAGCGCATGCAATGACAGGTTGGACCGACCACCTATTTATCTTGTTAGTCAGTTGCAGTAGGACAATGTAACCGCTTTAACCGATTAATGAAAGTTTACCCAGATTTCTACATATATAAAAAAATAATAACCCCAAACATGCTCCACAAAGTCGAATATGGTTCATTTAGATATCCACAAAAGTGGAAAAAATTTCTGAGAGTGATGAGTTATTTTGCAATCTCGCGAGCATAGTTGTGCTTAAAGAGAAAAATAACACAGCTTAATCTATTTCTGATTATTTGAATACAACGGATAATGAGCCAATGATGATAACAAATTGGTCCGGTTTTGGACCCGTAGCTGTATGGCAACAAAAACACGTTTCAAAGCTCGGAATAAATTAGTACGTTGATTAGCAAAACTAAGTTAATTAAGTCAGATACCAGGACCCCAATCTACTTCCAAGCTAAGTACGTTGATTAGCAAAACCATCTACTTCTAACTCAAGGCATCATATCTCCCAGGGTCCAAGTCAAAAAGCTCCGCCCAACTTGTCAAGTACTTCATCTACGGTCAAGAGTCTCTTCTCTACTTCACAATCCCAACGTAGACTTCAAAAGCTTCCAACTTGTATTGAACTGAACAAGATTCTCCTCGGCAACCAACCGATTCTCAGAAGCCCGCTTCCGTTTGTTGCTTTGCTCCTTGGCCTCTTCCAATTCCTTGCAAGCTCTCTCCCTCGTCTTCCTCAATGCACCGACGGTGGTCTTCGTCTGATCCTCAACCCTGATCTTACGAGCAATCAATTGCTGGATTTCAGCATCAAGCTTCTTTCCTTCTTCCCCAAGTCGGAAAAATTCGCCCTCCAAGCAGCTCAACTGCTTCTGCCTGTGAACAAGCCTCGCTTCCATGTCCTCATTCCTCTGTGCCACAGAAGCTTCAGTGGCATGGGAAGTTTCGATGACATGCATGGAGCCAGATACGCCGCGTTTGAGTTCCAAAATTAAGCCCTTCACAGTGGTCTCATCACTTGGATCAGCAAATAGGAGAGCAGTCTCCTCGAGATCTTTGAACGAATCGGTTCAGTGGATCTCTACGAGCGGCATGTTCAAGTAGGCAATCATTTTTTCTCGTTGCTGTTGCACTAGTGAGGCAGAAGAATCGTTGACTGCAGCGCATTTCATATTGCTGGTCGCGGCTGAAAGTTCTGCTCTCAAGTTTCTTGAAGCTAATAGCAAACTTGTTAATGAGCGGGGCTGGGAGCTCTGATCATTAATTTCAGTAATATTAACATGCCCGGCGAGCTGAAGAAATGGGAGAAGCCACCAACCTGAAGTTAGTAGTTTCAAGATTGCTAGCCGGCTGGGTCACTTCCCCTGATTATACTCCCATTCGGAAGGGTTTCAAAAGTGTTGAGTATCATTTACCTGACTCGGTAATGGAGTAGCTGCAGGCCCTTCAGTAGCTGAATCCAAAACCATAGCTGCTGGTTGTTCAACAGCTTCACTTCTCTGTTCTGGAAGGCAATCTTCCATTGGTAGGTTGTTGGCACCATCAGGCTGATCAGTAGGCTGCTCCTGCAAGCAAAGCATGATTAGTGCAACACCAAGATCCGGTTAACTCTAAATTTAAGTTACACTTGGTCCACTCCTACGCAATTTGCTTGATCAATCCACAGGTGCCAGCCATATATAATCCCTGAGATGCAGTTATGGACCAAATTTTGGCTCATTTTATTAGTTTCTCTTGAGTCGCAAGTCATGATTCTTAGTAGTTTTTTTTTTTTTTAATTTACAGTATTTTAAATAGGAAAGTATTCTATTTATAGAAAGGAAATAGATTTCGTTGTTGCATAATAAGTATATAATAAAGTTTTTGTACAGATATTGGTAAACTAGATTAGAGTGAATTATTGAGTCTTTTGACCTTACTCTTGAGTGAAACTAAAGCGAAATCTTGCTCCTAAACTACATATATTCAACAAGCATATATGCACATACACCACACCCTTTTTCAGAGTCCCGCAGCAAGAAATGGTATATTCTGCAAAAATAAAATCCTTTATCCAAATTGCTATATTGGATGGTGTACATCAAAGATTTGGCCTTGCAAATATGACATTAACCATATCGTACCTGCTAACTAATAATTAAGAAAGCATGCAGTAACTTTGTGTTCAGCAATAATCTTAATGGTACCTCTTGACCTGATAAAGTGGTAGCCTGAAGCCTTTCAGGATCCTGATGAGCTCCACAATCAATTCTGCGTCCGGAGGAGAGCCTCTCATTCATTGGTTCCGCGATGGATCCAGCTATGACGCCATTAGGTTGTTGATGGTGATCAGCAGGTGCATCAGAATTCATGTCCGTTTCTTCAGCTGTGTCAGAATCCGATGCTTCTTCTTCTTCTTCTTGGTGATCAGCAGGTGCATCAGAATTCATGTCCGTTTCTTCAGATGTGTCAGAATCCGATGCTTCTTCCTCTTCTTCTTGGTGATCAGCAGGTGCATCAGAATTCATGTTCGTTTCTTCAGATGTGTCAGAATCTGATGCTTCTTCCTCTTCTTCTTGGTGATCAGCAGATGCTTCAGAATTAATGTCCGTTTCTTCAGTTGTATCAGAATCCGCTGCTGCTGCTGCAATTGCTGCTGCTCCTGCCTGATGATGAGTTCGAGGTGTGTCTTCCTCCTGGGTTCTATCCTCAAAATCAGACAACCATGTCGATTCTTCCTGCAGCAAAACATGTCCCTACATGTACTAACTTATTAATCAACTAATTTAAAAGCATATATATTCCAACTTGTGCTGTGAGGGAAAAGATTGCCAGGAGTGAGTCCTTACTTTAGAAACATGAGCTCGAATTAATGGTGCCTCAGAACCAATGTCCGTTTCTTCAGTTGTATCAGAATCCGCTGCTGCTGCTATTGCTGCTGCTCCTGCCTGATGATGAGTTCTAGGCGTGTATTCCTCCCGGGTTCTATCATCAAGATCAGACAACCATGTCGATTCTTGCTGCAGCAAAGCATGTCCGTGCAAAACTAACTTATTAATCGACGAATTTAAACGCATATACATTCTAACTTGTGCTGTGGTGAGAAAAATAACGCAGTGGCTGGGGTGACTGACTCATTACTTTAACTGTAGAAACATGAGCTCGAATAAGGATATCATCATTCGCAAGGAACCCTTTCAGGGGCTTGAGAATATCTCCCAGTCGAATCAAAGATTTGAATCCCCAGCCTTTCCCACCTACTCTAAAATGGCGTTTCCCACCTGTGGGACGTGAGTTAACTATAAGTCAAATTATGATTAAGCAAGAAACACCACAAACTGATGAAATAAACTATCCAACCTTCGATTAATGATGATTTGGCTCCCCACAATCGGTTGACGACGATGAAGCTGTAATCGGCGAAAATGTCTCGACAACCGTAGTCCCTTGCTCCCTTATCGGAACAACAACGCAGAAATAGAGAGAGATAATCTTCACCGCAAACGTTCTTTAACTTGGCAACAATGATCCTGTGGTCAGAACCAGAACAGGGGGAAGAACTATATATGAATATACCACTAACTCCTCGTAAACCCTAAAAATTAAAGATAACCTGACAGCCGGCTCGCTCGGCCAACAAATCCATACCATTCGCAATCGCCGGCGACGAATCTCTCAGACTTGAGGGTTCCTTCTTCCCACTTGGTGATCTCCAGAATCTGCCATTGCACTTTCTTAGTCTCCATCACAATGCTGCCGCCTGCCGGTTCTGCTAGCTGAATCTAGCTTTGGGGAGAACCGTTCTGGAAGAATAGAAGGGAGGAGGAGCGGAAAATGGAACGTGGTGGTGCAACAGTGAGCAAAAGATCAGCTGGAAGGGGGAGAAAGACGGGTGACTGTTCAACTTTCGGAAAAAATCCCAGAATACGCTAGTTATTAAAAAAAATTCCCTAAATACAGTACTTATAAAACTAATTCCCAAAATACAGCAGTTTCAACATCACTGTCTTTGTCTAAGACAGTGATGTTGATCACCGCTTTTGTCCAAAGCAGTGAAGCAGCGGGGTACGCATCACCGCCTTGGACAAAAGCGGGGAATGCATCATCGCTGTGGTCAAAAGCGGTGATACGTTCCCCGCTTTTGTCCAAGGCGGGGATTGTATCCCCGCTTTTGACAAAAGCGGGGAACGTATCCCCGCTTTGGACATCAACAGTGAAGCCATCACCGCTGTTGTCCACAGCAGTGATTGCCCCCACGTTTTACACAGCCCTGGTAGGTGGACAGGTAGGTAACAGCTACCTAGCCATCACCGCTGTTGACTAAGGCGATGAAGGTTCACCGCCTTTGTCCAAAGCGGTGATTGCCTCCAATTTTTCCTATAAAAAGCCACGCCCCCTCTTCCCTCCTGCTGCCAAACACTCCTGCTGCCAAACAGAAAATTAGTACCAAAATTATCGTTTTCGCAGCTGGTTCCTCCGTAGTTTACTGCTCAAGAAACTCGTCGGGATTCGGTATGTTAGAATTATGTATTGTTTACATTTTGATTATGTGCTAGAATTAGGTATGTTAGAATTATATATTTAGATTAATGATATATGTTAGTTAGTTAGTACTGAATTTAGATTAATTTGTTTAGTTATCATGATAGATCGGGATTGAGTATGTTATAAGTATGTATTTTTTACATGTTGATGTGTTAGTAATTATACTGTTTGTATTTAGTGAATTGCGGTTATTGGAAAATATGTTATGATATTATTTAGTTTAATTATGATATGATAGATGTTAGTTAGCTAGTTATGAATTTAGATGAATTTGTTTAGTTTTCTCATAATAGATAAATTAGTTGCATTTTATTATCGCTTTGGATGATATTGTTTTTGTATCCATAATGTACTAATTATATACTATACTTAATTATTATAAATTGCAGACATGGGTAAATTTAAGAAGTTTCGGCTTATTATTTATTGGAATGGTCGGGTGACAAACTCGAACATTGGGATCGACTATGAAGATGGCGAATCCAGTTCGCTTACAATTGAGTCGAGATTCTCGTGGCAAGAACTCCATGACAGGTGTGCAGAAAGGACTTGTACGGGCGGGCAAATGAGAGTTCGTCAAATTACTTACCGGTATCCCAACATGAGTGCTGACGGAGTCATGTACGAAAGAGTTGACATAAATGACGATGACGACGCGAACATGATGACACAGTTCATATCTGAGAACGGGGTGCGGCTTGCAGAGGTGTATGTCGAGACCGAGCTGGTCGGTGAAACTCATTCTCACCAGTATTCTTATGATGATGGTTTTGCAGGAGGGTATGGCTGGGGTGGTAGTTCAAGTAACTACGGAGCAGGTTCTTCTGCCGGAGGGTATGGTTGGGGAGGTACTTCAAGCAACTACGGAGGAGGTAGTTCTGAAGGAGCTGTTGGGTGGGAAGAATACCTGCCACATGGTGGTGAGACTGCCGTCGATATCGTTCAGCCCGACGGTGATCAATGGCCTGCTTGGGGTCCAGAGTGGGGTGACATTGAAAACACCCTTCGAACTGGGCGTACTTCGCATGACCAAGAAGGCGATGCTGGTTATGCTGCTAACGATGACCCTCCTTCGCCGAGCTATCCATTCGCCTCCAGTGACGATGAAAGTGAGGAAGATTTGAGATCAGTCAGTGAGGAGGAAGATGCGGACGATAACGACGATATCGATGACAGTGAGGTGGCATTCCGCCAGGCACCAACGCCTTACTACACAGAGGTTCCTGATCAATTTTTATATGGTCAGAACGATGCCCCTGACTATCGGCCCATGCCTGTGTATAATCCGACTGCTAATTTGGAAGTGGGTATGGCGTTCACTTCAAAAGCCGATGTGCAAGACGCTTTTAGCGAAGAAGCCATGCGGCGTAATTTCGAATGGAAGGTAAAATATTCTGACAAGGGACAACTGCATGTCATTTGTAAGAATGCTGGAGAGGGTTGTATGTGGCAACTTCGTGCTGCATATATGAAGAGAAAGGGGTTCTGGGTCATGCGGACAGCAGAGAACAACCACAGTTGCTCCTCAACCATACTTTCACAGGATCACCGGCAACTGAAAGCAAAAAAAGTGGCAAGAACCATTAAGCACCTTATCGAGGCACAACCAGATATCAAGATAAAAGCTATCATGGCGGAGGTGAAGGATCGACACTCCTACACCATAAGGTATAAGAAGGCGTGGCATGGGAAGCAGAAGGCCATGGCTGATGTCTACGGTGATTGGGATGACTCGTATGCTTTACTCCCCAGACTAATGTCCGCAATGGAGGAGTCCAACCCTGGGACGGTTTTCGTGCCTTGGTACAACAACGTAGAAACTGAAGATCAAGTTCGAGTACAGAACGAGTTGATGTTTCATCGTCTGTTCTGGACATTCAAGCCATGCATTGACGGGTTTCCCTTCTGCATGCCAGTGATTCAGGTATATTACGGACTCAAAATATTGTACTACTTCATTACTTTACTAATTTCAATTTTTACTAACTCAGTATTCATTTTAACAGGTTGATGGAACTTTCCTTACTGGGAAGTATAAAGGAACTCTTCTTATTGCCACTGGGGTTGATGGAAATTTAAGTATTTTTCCCTTAGCATTTGCATTAGTTGAAGGGGAGAACAACCTAAGTTGGGCATGGTTCTTTGACCAGCTACACGCCCACGTCACACAAAGAATGGGTATTACAATTATATCGGATCGACATGCCGGGATTAAACACGCCGTCCGTGGTTTCCCGGACGAATGGGGATGGACATGGCGTTGGTGTATTCGTCACTTCCTAGCCAATTTCCAACACAAATTTGGCAAGAAGAAAGACATCAGAGATCAATTATGGAGTGCAGGTAATAATGTAATTCAGTGCTTGTTCAAGGTTTATTGTTCAAATGACAATTCTTATGGATTAATTATTAATTCTCCGGTCTTGTAGCGGTTGCACATCAACCAAAAAAGTACGAGCAGAAGATGAAGACGATCCGTCAAATACACCGGGCGGGAGCAGTATGGGCAGAAGGTCAAGATCTGCACATGTGGACATTTCACATGGACAACGGGGCTAGATTCGGAATTGCAACTACCAACCATGGGGAGAGCATAAATGGAGTCTACAAGGGCATTAGGGCAATGCCTGTATCTGTCCTAGTGGAGATGACATACTGGAAGGTAAACGAGTGGTTTGTGAAGAGACGGGATGCTGCTATAGGGAGGGAGCGTGCTGGTCATTCAATAGCTAAGCATATATTTGACGGCATGCAGAAGATCGAAGAGAAATCAAGTAAGCACAGAGTTGTTCTGTTCAACCGCAATGAGGGTATTTTTGCTGTGCAAACAGGTATCTGGGGTGGAGGAAGACGTGGGCATAATCGTCAATCCGTAACTCTACACGTAGAAACTCGCACCGGAGAGTGTACATGCCAAAAGTATCAAAACAGAAGAGTACCTTGTTCACATGCAATGGCAGTAGCTAAGTCGATAACCCTCAGCGCTTACAGTTTGGTTAGTCCTTACTACACGGAACAGGCGATCAGGAACTCCTACTCGTCAAGTTTTAGCCCCCTGCCGGATGAAGCTTATTGGCCTGTAGACAATGGGAAGTTGATTATCCCACCGTTACACTTAAAGCGCACCAAAGGTCGTCCTAGGACCGAAAGGATTCACAATGAAATGGACCAATCACAACGTGCCCGACGGGGTCCAAAGCGTTGCTCAAAGTGCAGACAACCGGGTCATGACAAGAGGCGTTGCCCAGGTCCACCTCTAGAGCAAGATTCGGCGCCAATTCCGAACCTACCTTGATGTTGTTGTTGTTCACTTCCTTGTTTTAATCTTGTTGAGTAGTTTTCGTTGTTGTGATGTTTAATTTGGACTTCTTGTTTTAATCTTGTTGAGTGATTGTAATAAAGGGCGTTTGTTGTTCATTTTGGTACAACATGGGGGTAAAAACCAACAAAATTTAGCCGACAGATAGTTAATGGAAAACAACACAATCCGAAACCAAATTTAGAAACATAGATAGTTCATGGAAAACAACACAAGCCCCAAACCAAATTTAGACGACATGGATAGTTCATGGAAAACAAAAAAAGATGGAACTAAATTAGAACGACATAGATAGTTCACTGGTTGTCTTCATTTCCCTCCACTTCCCCTTCTCTTCCTCTTCCTCTTCCTCCACGACCTCCTCGGCCCCTTCTTCCGCCCTCTCTACCTCCTCCTCCTTCTTCACGAGCCCGCTGGACAACTGCGCGCGGATTCCTCTTAACCCGACCACCCACCGGAGTGTAGACAGGTGGTGGGGGTGGAGGTTGCTGAGTTGGACCAGAAGTGTGGTAGAAAGTCGATGATGTATGTTGCTGTTGCGGGGTCTGATACTGAGTAGTTTGTTGCTGATGGTGGAACTGAGGGGTGGCTTGGGTGAACATGTCATGCTCCATCGTCGGGGCATAGCTTGACGACCCTCCGGTTCCCTCAGTACTAGTAGCCCACTCACAATGTGGCCATGGTTGAGGAAGTTGAGTTTGCTGAGACGGACGAAGCTCATCAATGTGTTCTCTCACCCTTCTTCTGCTCCTCCGTGGGGGCTCTTCTGGGGGCACAATCCTCTCATCAGCACGGAATGAAGGTCGGGCCGGAGCAGGCACTGGAGGGTATAATATGACATCCCTCCTTTGCTCTCTGGTACAACAGAGCAAGTTGTTGAAAAGCCTGCGCAAAAAAGATGTCTTCCGCTCATCCATGGTGGGTGCACTCTCGACGGTGTGCTTCGCATGCTCCAAACCGTCAACCTAATAAATTGTTTTACAAAATTAACTAATAGTAAATCTAATAATGATTTCTATCATCTAATATAGGCATGTAATCATACTACAAAAATTAACTAAAATTAACTCTAATAATGTTAATTAACATTCTAGCAAATATAGGCATGTAATTATACTACAAAAATTAACTAACATTAAATCTAATAATGTTAATTAACATTCTAGCAAATATAGGCATGTAATTATACTACAAAAATTAACTAAAATAGGCCAAAATGGAATTCACTTACCACTGCGCCCCAAACAGCACCTTGCTTTGACACCCATCTTAGCGTGAAGTGCCGATACCACCGCATGTAGCCATCGTGGTACCCCATTGGCCTTGTCTCCGGCGCCCCTTGGACCACCCACTGATTTCTATTCTCCCATATGTTGATGTAGAATTCATGTTTGCGGGTCCAATCCTTTTTGTTGTAGCGTAGGTCAATGGCGTGGAGCTCCCTGAACCCTTGAGGTGGGGATGCTGGAATTGGTTGCTCCAATCGATATTGCCTCAAAGATCGATCGGGCAGGTGCCACTCCACCATGTGCCAGCAGATTAAGGGCACCTTGCACAACCATGTCTCTTGATCCTCGGGATGTCTAAGACGATGCAACTCAACCACTTCATTTGGATATGGATCCCATACCGCCTACAATCATTACAATTCACGTAATTAGTAAAAATTATATCCACTCCACCTAATAAATTTAAAATCATGACATTCAATATTTTTACCTGGTTCCACCAAGGCTTATCAAATTCAGCACGATAAAACAGTAAAGAGTGCTCGGCCTGGTGGTCGTTAGTATTTGCTCCGATCCACCTAATTAAGCAAAAGTACATATATAAGCAATTTTTAAATTAGCTAAATACGATTTGGTTAGAATAAATCCAAATTCACTTACTTGGAAGATATCTAAATTCACTAAAATACTAGAATTGCAGACCTAAAATGTCTCTAAATTCGCTTAGTTGGAAGATAGCTAAGTTCACTAAAATACTATAATTGCATACTTAAAATTGCATACTAAGTTCACTAAGTTCACTAAAATCTAAATTCACCTAACTAGCTACCATTGCATATCTAAAATAAATTCAACTTAAATTGAACTTACTTGAAACCATATGGGGGATTTGCTACAAATCGTAGCTCATCATCTGGCAACCAGAATTCCCGAGGGTCTTGAGGTGCGAGAAACGGAAGATGCTCCCATGCCCAGAGTTGAAGTATGAACATCGCACCACCAGCTTGTTTCGCTCCCAACCTCGAGCAAGTACACAACTCTCGGTAGATTCCAGCCAAGACGGCCGACCCCCAACTTTTTCTCCCGATCTCGTCCCAGTCACCGAGGAGCATAGGGAACCACATGCCTTGTATCCACTTATTTGACTTGTCGGGGAACAGAAACCCACCAACCAAGGCAATTAGGTATACACGTGCATACCGCTCCACCTGATCTTCAGGAGTATCCAGGCCTATATTAACCTCCAATTGGATGTGGTCAACAAGCCACGGGATCGATACTTGCCCCGCATTCAGTGGTGGATGCCCAACCCCTTCGACGGGCGTGGTGGTCGGCATGTTGAACCCCAGACGTTCCTGAATCAATGGCCCCCAACCATCTTCTGGTTTTCTCGAGCTGTCGATGATGGCATCTCCGGTGATCGGGAGCCCGGTGAGGATGGCAACATCTTTGAGGGTGATCGTCATTTCACCCTCGGGAAAGTGGAAGGTATGCAGCTCAGGGCGCCATCGCTCTGCCATTGCCGTCAGCAGATCGTTGTCAATATCTAGCCTCATAAAGTGCCTCAAATTGTGCAATCCCGCCCTCTCTAGATAGGGATGCAGTCGAGGATGCCAACGGGGCAATCGACATGTACCTCGATGACTGATGGGAATAAGTGATTCCTACAAAACAAAAAACACAATATTGTCAGTCAATAGAAAGCAAAATAAAAACTTAGAAAGCAAAATAAAAACTTTAAAACTATTGAAATAATTGTAGTGTATCTACCGGATTATTGTTCCAAATTGAACGAGAGCGATGTTGATCTTGCCCGGTTAAATACCTTCGATCCCTTGGGCCAGGATCGATATACAATCTAGGGTCGTATATCTCAGCACCCATCTATAAAAAAATATGAAATCAAATCAATTTAAATTTTAGCACCCATGTAAAAAAAAATGCACAAAAGAATTAAATAAATTTACGTACTCTCAAAGCCTCTTCGTCCATTTTTTGCCGAAAAGCTAGCGAGAGTATCGACAAAACAACAAAACAAAAACTCTAGTAATTCTTTCTGATGCGGAAGATCGGACTTAGCCGCAACCACAGAGCATACTTAGAACGAAACTAGAGTGAAAAATGGAGGGAGAAAGAAGTATGAAGTGGTGGTGTGGTTTGGAATGAGAGGGGGGATGGGTATTTATAGGGTTTGGGGCTGGGAAAAAACCTGGCCAGTTATCACCGCCCCAAACAAACACAGCGCCATCACCGCCTTTGTTGGACGCGGTGATGTGCAGGGATCGCTGACGTGGCCTCTCCTGATGCGTCGGATTGTGGAGAAAAACCACAATCCGCGCATAACTGCATCCGACGGCAGCGGTGAAGGCGCGGGGTGGGGGGCGGATCGCTGACGTGGAAAGCGGGGCTATCACCGCTTTGGTCTTCAGCGGTGAAGTGCCCGCGCGCGTCCACGTCAGCGATCCGCGCCCCTTCACCGCTGTTGGATCCAACGGTGAAGGCTTCACTGCCTGCCACATCAACGGTGATGCCATCACTGTCATCCTTGACAGCGATGATGGCATCACTGCTTTGGTTTAAAGCGGTGATAACATCACTGCTTTAGTCTAAAGCGGTGATGTATCATCGTTTTAGACCAAAACGGTGATCAACATCACTGTCTTAGACAAAGACAGTGATGTTGAAACTGCTGTATTTTGGGAATTAGTTTTATAAGTACTGTATTTTGGTAATTTTTTTTAATAATTGGTATATTCTGGGATTTTTTCCTCAACTTTCCTACTGACGGGACCTGGGTAAGAGTTAGGGGTCGTTTGCTTCATGGATTTAAAAATGAGGGTTTTGTAATTTAAAAACCCAAGGATTTATCAAGGATTTGAGGCATCATGGATTTGTAACAATCCTTTGTTTGTTGGGATGTTTTTATCATGGATTTAAAGGTGTGGGATTTACTACTTAAAGTCAAAAATTACATTATTGTCCTTTTCTATACGTTTGACATGTTTATGATATGTACACAAAACAAGGACAAAACTTCAAAATTACCCTTACTATCATTTTCTATATGTTGGCACATGGACAATAATAATAAACGATAAAATTCCGTTTTAACTTTTAACGTAACATAATCAATTACCAATTCTTTGTCCTCCTTTTCAAAAGTGACATATAACAACATATATTAGAATCGGGAGAACAAAGAATTACACGTTCCATGAAAAGGTCAAAGAAAACTAGAACACAAGAAATGATATAAAAAATCTAACTCATGTTTGCACATTAATTGAACGTTTATATTATTCATTTATTGTTAATTATAATGTATAATAGTTAAATTTGAGGGTAACCTTGAAATATTAAAAGTGCATGAGGGTATATGGGTAAAATCTCATCAAGGATTTATGCCATATTCCAAATCCCACATCAACATGTGGGATTTATAAGTCCGTGGGGTCCACGGATTTGGACCCTTAAAATCCATGGGCCCCACGGATTTGGTCTCCAAAAAAGGTGCAAGCAAACAACGGATTGTACCTAAATCCTTGATAGTTGGTTTTTTGGTACCAAATCCATGTACCAAATCCTTGAAGCAAACGACCCCTTAATTAGGGCGACGGTTTATATTTAATATTAGTTAGGGATCTGTAATCTGTTACACTGATTTTTTTTTAATTTATCTCGTATCAGGCTTCATTTTTCAAATGGTTAGTAGTCGGTTTGGCCCGAAATTTAGTGAAAGTGTCCGTTTTGTTCCGAATTTTTCAATAAGATATTTATTGTCAATTTTTCAAATCAATGGATAGATTTGGCTCTAAGTTTGAGTTGACCATTAAAATTGACGGTCAAACATTTATTTAATCCATGACTCAGCATTTAGTGTGATGTGTCTTCCACCTCATTTATAAAAAAAAAAGCTCATGCCAACCAGAATATTTTTTACACTCCTAAATTTATTAATTATTATATCGATGTTAGCAGAAGCGAATTAAACAGTAACGAAAATAAGAAACGAAGATAGATTTGTGTGGTTTCCTTGATCGTTGTGATTAAGACTAGTCCACGGGCAAGATCGATACTTCTCTTATTGTGTTGGTCGGCCAAGACTTCTCAAAGTACATATATATACACGTCCAGGGACAACTCCTTCACTAACCCTAGCCGAGAAACCCTAATAGCATGGCCCAATCATCATTAAGCATGACCATGCATTTACGTGGGCCTTTGGCCCTTTTTACAATGACCGAACTATCTCAACAACCTCCCCCAAATTGATGGGGAGACCTCATCATCAATTTGCGAGAGAGAAAAGAATGACGACCGGCAGTAAAGGTCTTCGTGAATAAATCGGCTGGCTGATCCTCCGAAGCAATGTAGTAGATGAAAATAGTCTCATCCTTGACAAGATCTCGAATATAATGAACATGGACGTCGATGTGTTTAGTGCGATCATGAAGAACTAGATTGGTGGCAATGCGGATCGCACTAGTATTATCAACATACGGCTCCAGCGTTGAAGTACATTGAACACCAAGATCTGCCAAGAGACGCTTCAACCATTCCAGCTTAGAAGTCACGTCCGACATTGCACGTTATTCCGCCTCAGTGGAAGATTTAGAAACGCGGTCTTGTTTCTTGCACCACCCGGTAATAACAGAATTATCAAGACGAATACACCACCCAGTAGTGGAACGACGGGTGTCAATACACCCCGCATAGTCCGAATCAGAGAATGCCTGAAGAACTGTTGACCCAGCAGAAGGAAAAAAATAGACCAACCTCACGAGTGCCCTTAAGATAACGGAGGATCCTATGAACTGCATCCAGGTGAGCTGTCCTCGGTGTACACATGAACTAATTGGCGATTTGCACCGCATATGCAATGTCAGGTCGCGTAGAGGCCAGATAAATCAAACTCCTAACAAGATGTCTATACTGCTTCCCCCCATCAGGTAACAACTTGCTAGTCTCTTTTCCCAACTTGAGGTTGAGCTCCATAGGAATAGAAACAGGTACACAGTCATTGTATCGAGCTGGATCAAGTAAATCATCAATGTATTTGGTCTGATTGAGAAGAATACCTGCCGAAGAACGAGTAACCTCAAGACCCAAATAGTAAGAGAGGGAGCCGAGCTCCTTAAGGTGGAAGGACTCGTGTAGACCCTTTGTAAGAGCAGGAATCCCCGACCTCATCATCACTAAAAATAATCATGCTGTCAACGTACAAGAGAAGAACCACCATACCCCGAGATGTATACTGAGTAAATAGAGAATGATCGTTGCAACTCTGTTGAAATCTCATACCCAAGATCGTCGTCTGAAATTTATCAAACCAGGCCTGAGGCGCTTGTTTCAAACCATATAACGAACGCTGCAGAAGGCAAACCTAATCAGGAGTACCAAGAGGATAGCCAGGCGGACGCTCCATATAGATAGTTTTCTTAAAATCGTCATGCAAAAAAGCGTTCTTCACATCCAGCTGGTAAAGAGGCCAGTGATGCATAGCCACAACAGCTAAGAGAGCTCGAACAGTGAGCATCTTTGCAACAGGGGCGAAAGATTCATCGAAGTCGAAACCAAACTCCTGTGTATATCCCTGCGCAACAACACAAGCCTGATATCGCTTGATAGAACCATCCGGATTGACCTTGATATTGTAAACCCATCGACTGCCAACTACTAAAACCTCAGGAGGAGGACGAGGCACAAGAACCCAAGTATTCTGGTTGTGAAGAGCTGAAAATTCATCATCCATTGCCTTGTCCCAGTGAGGATGCCCTTTCGCCTGGGAGTAGCGAGTGGGGATCACAATAGGATCAACCTGGTAAGATAAATAGTCACGATGAGATGCTGGAGGCTGGCCAAAGTTGGAGCGAGTAGAGCGGCGTGGCGGAGCCGGCGCAAGTGGCGGAGAAGGAGAGCCATCGTCATCATTCGAGAAAGAATCACCAGACGACGAGGGGGCAGGAGAAGGCGGTGGGGTCGAGGGCAGCGGGGGTAATAGGGCAGCATCATCAACCTAATCATCATTCATCAGGGAACGAGGGAAGAGTGAGTGAAGACGCAAACAGAGGGGTGGACTCGGAGGAAGCAGAGTAGAACATCAAGTTTTGAAAGAAAACGACGTTGAAAGCAATCCTAGGACGTCGAAGAGAGGGATCATAGCAAATGTACCCTTTATGAACGTCACTATAGCCTAGGAAGACACAACAAGCGGTTTTCAAAGTTAACTTGGTACGTTCAAAATGAGGAAGAAGAACAAAACAAAGACTCGGAGACGGAAATACGGAGGATGTTTACCAAACAGTTTATAGTAAGGACTGAACTGACTAAGGACATGATTGATCTGGTAGTTAATGAGACGCACAGCGGTAGACACGGTTTCAGACCAGAAGGATGATGGAACATGAGAAGCTAATGGAAGTGCTCGAGTAACTTCGACAACATGACGATTTTTACGTTAAACAAGACCATTTTGTTGGGAAACACCCTGACAGAACTTTTGAGTAAGAATGCCAAGGGATGAATATAGCTCAAGAAGAGGATTCAAGCTAAATTCCCCCTGGGTCGGACATGACAACACGAATAATGCGGCCGAATTGAGTCTGGATTATTTTGAGAAAATCGGTGGCAACGGAAAGAAGATCATATTTCAAACGAAGAA